GGACCATGTTGGTGAGGCTATAAAAGGAGTTGAGAGAGAGAACTCATTTTGATGTGTACTCGTCCGCACATGCAAGTATGCACAGACGTGTAGCAATACTAAAATCATAATTGTTTAAAATCATAATTGTTTATGTAATATATTATGTAAGAGATTGTCTACAAAAAGACTATTTACTTTTTATACAAGGTCACAATCATTTGCCCTTTGACTTTCAAAATGGGTGGTTGTAAGCAATTATTGGACTTTATCACCCCAAACCAATCCAATTTGACATTTAATGAATAAGAATAGTTGTGACCTCCAAGTAACAAGGATAAATAGTAAGTTTGTAGACAATACCATTATATAATCATAATATAATATGCATTATATAATATAATATATATTTTGGCCGAGTATGAGTTGGGTCAACCTGGACCACGACACGACCCGGTGTTGGGCTGCCATTTTTGGACTCTGACCCGAGCCATCAAGTCGAAAAAATAAAACCTAGACCTGGACCCCGACCCAAGTCGAGTCAAGCCATTTCTCACCCACATCTTATAGAAACCACACCCTTTAATTTATTAAAATGTATAAGATAAAACCATTTGCATTTGGTATATGTCACAATCATTAACTTTTAGACGTGAAATGAGGTAGCTAGAGGTGTCACTTACTAGTAACAATCATTTACTAGCACAGTCAAAAAAATATAATTTCTTGTACTATGTGAGACTTTAAGCTGTCGGATTTTTACCTCCAATGGCTAACTGATTCTGACCTCTTTTAGAAAAAGTAAATAGTCTTATAGTATACAATCCCTTAATTTATAACTAATACCTTAATTTAATTAAGAATACTTTGGCACGGATTCCATAAATTACAATAGTGAAATAGACCAACAGTGAGAAGAATACCATGATTTTGAAAATAAGCTTACAATATTCCGCTTTCCTAAGAGACCATGAAACATTTATGTGATGCTCGACAGTGGGGCATTGTAAATAAAACTGCTAATTGAAACCACTTCAACTTGCATATTCACCCCAAAAGTAAACAACAAAACAAAACGAAAAGCCTTAGAGCTGCAGCAATATACATCAGATTGCATCTCATTTTGAGGCATGGGGTCAGGCAAGCCTGTTTTCCATGGATAAGTTGGAATCTCGGAAACATCAAGGGATCCTCCATTCTGCATGCAGAAAGAAACCCCAGTAGAATGTCCAGTAAACTCAGCATGGAGAACCACTTGAAAATATCTCATCCTCTAAAGCAATGCCACAAGCTTTTTCCAATAACTAGAAAATAAGATTAACCTTACGCTTTAAAATACACCGAGGTCCCCAAAACCAGAAAAATCAATATGCCTATGCTGATTACACAAACATCAAAAATATGTGTTACAAGTTGGGCTTCAGAAGGATAGTGTATAAAATGATATCAATGTATTGCGAGGACAAAGAACTAGAAAGAAAATAATAGAAAAATGTACCATAATGGCCTTCACTTGGCAGCTGCCTCCATAGCACAACGAACATGAGTGAAAGAGCCTATGAGTGATCCAAGCTGCAACTTATCATTGCATCCAAAGCTCAGCCTGTATCTGCAAAGCCCCCCATATGAAACCAATGAATCCTTTTAAGCATAATCAATCAAAAACTCTTCTGTGCAAAGTGAGAGAGAGAGAGAGAGAGGGAGGAGCCTGTCTGGGGAAGGGGGGGGGGTTTGTACTTTCCCAATCAGTATATTTCCAAACATATCTGTTTTAGGAAAAAGAAAGAACATTTCCACACATTCTTTTGACCTCAAACCGAACCAACCATCAGATCCACAATTCAGCCATTGCTTCTAACAAGCATTCTTTTAACCTCAAACTGAACCAACCATTAGATCCACAATTCAGCCATTTCTTCTAATATGCATTCACAAATCATTGACTAAAACCTTAGAGTACAGAACTCTGTATTCAAATTACAAAGACATGGGATACATTGGTTTCCCAATTGACTTTCTCGAAGAGTGACAAAGCACTTATACTCTTCCTGCTTTTGTCATAAATATGATTCGATTTTTAACGTGGATGGAAATGTAGGAGGTGACCCGGATGAAGCTGAATATGATGAGGAAGATGAAGTAGGACAAGAAAGAAGAATCACATGCTAGGAATGATTTGTTATCTTGGAAGGGGTTTGGAGCAAGGAGAACATTATGTTTTTGGAGCAAGGAGAAAAGGTGAAGTGTCCGAAACTCATAATTTGACCAAGTCAAATCACACTATTATTTTCCGCACTATCCTTCCTACAATCTCCTTTTACAAAGAACTTAATGAAACTTGTGCCCCTAAGTTTCCAATAATTTTTAGATGTTAATTCATTTTCCCAAATGGCCAGGTTCTATGTAACTATATCGAATGAATGCCCATCCGAATGAATCGGCCTCGACTATCAAAGCTAGGATAGACTGCGCACACCAAGCAAAAGTTTTAGACAATTCAATTACTGAATGCATAAACCTTCCCTTCAATATTTCGCTTTACAAATTCCCTTTTTATCAAAACAAAACTAGATTATCCTCATATTAAGAATAAAAGACAAGCTGAAGCTTGCAGATTAGTGCTAGCATAGGAAAGGGATCTAGGAGACATGTTTGCACTGTTTCCCACACATTCCAAAACCATCCTTTATCCCTATTAGCCAAATAACCCATCACACCCATAAACCCTTTCAATTTGTAGAAGCTTTGTTTTAGCAAGAAGTTTCCCCTTGGGACTAAATATTAGTGGCCTTGCCCATACCCATACAATAAGCAACGAGTTGTACTCAAAGAACACATCTATATGACGTGTCATAAAGAGCCCAAATGAACCTATTTGAAGATTTGAGGCCTTGTCCTCTTTCACCCCATCCCACAGTGTCCAAAGGAAGACTTTTGTACCTTATGAGCTCCCTAAGGTTTCATAACACTCATAGCATGTGGCTTGTTAAGCAAGCATCCATCTTCCCTCGGCGCCTCAGTCCATGAATGTGACCATGATCCCCCATAACATCCTCCAAACAAGGAACACCTGCTCGGCTGCTCCTTCAATAATTGATAATGGTAGATTGCAAGAACTGGTGAGAGGGTAAGGCCTTGAATGCCTCAGCCAATCGAACATTACGCTCGAGTCAGATAGTAAGTAAAGAATTTTCATGAGATTTTTTGGGTGCTTCAATAAAATTTGTCTAAGCCATGGGGTTACTATTTTCAACAGTGCCATATTTGTCATTTATACAGAGAAAGCACAAGAATTCTACAGCAGCAAAATAATCAAATAATCTAGTCTCCATTAGCATTTGGAATGTCATATTCATAAATTGCGAAGTAGATACAGGAGAATTCATATGACGATAAAACAATCAGTATCACCAGTTGATATTGCATAATGTGGGACCATGATTGGAAAATCAACAAGAAAAAGGAATACATACTCAATATCTGCCAAATCATTGATAAGTTGAACTCGAACAGTTGATGGCATTTTGATCATAAAAATAAACCTGCTAACAAGAATATGAAATGGAAGTTAAATAAACAAACATAAGATTCCATAAAGACATTACTAGAGTATATACTTACATTGTAACCTCTCTCACTATGTCAACCAACGCCAACCCTTTTGTAGTCTTCATGTCAGATATATCTAGCTGAAGTTAACTTTGCATATCCATATTGCTCTTAAAAACCAAATAATGTATAAAACTTAAAATGCAATGAATCAGCACTTTGAAGAGGATACATTTGTAAGAAGTTGCAAAGTCCTCATTTAGAAGCCAATTGGAAATTTGCTCGACATCTTTTGGCATTGGGTTGCCAGTGCAAAGGTAAACAGCTTTCTCAGACACATGCTGGGAAGCCATATGAGTCGACTACAAAATATAAAGAGAGGGAGAGAAAACTATAATCAGACCCAAACAAGTGTGTTATGTGTTCAGACACCCATACCTTGGCTATGTTAGAAAGCCCAACAGAAGCAGACTCATGTATAGAGAAGTAACAAAATTGGAACTAATCACAAGAAGAAGGGCAATCAATATGGAATAGAAAAAAATGAACATGCAGACCATAATAAAGCAAAGGATGAATAAAATATTCAATATGTGACAAAGCTTAGGCAGAGACGAAAAGGAGTACAAACCGGCTAAACAAAAAAACCAAAGCAAAGTAAACAATTCCAAAAATAAATACAAAGGAGACACATAAGAACACAACTCAGATATTCCACTCCAACACTCAAAACACTAAAAAGGAAAGGAAAGAATAAAAAAGCCTTAAAATAAGTAAACAAGCACAGCATTTCGAAAGGTGCCAAGCATTCCTAAAAATGTAACCAAATTACAACAGTCATGATAATATTCAGAAAGACAAACTGAGTTGCATACCCATGACCATGCAGAAGCCTTTTGCATCAGATTCCTCATCTCCACTATCTTTAACAAGTTCCAGCGCATAGTTACAGGGATCTTCCAAGGAGGGGTCACTTCCTCTCTTAGATCTCATTCCGGCACTCTGAAACACAGGATCTTGAATCCCTATGATTCCATGATATTAAGGATCTCAATCCGGGAAATCAGACATCTCGATCCTAAGTTAATAGGACCTAGATCCCTATACCAAAATCATCATTCTATGAATAAGCGGAATTGCAATTCCACCAACATGGAATCGAGTAACCTATGCTTTGGGTGCGAGTTACAACAGTACATTTATTGGTTCATATACAATGGAGAATGCATCTCTATTTTTTTTTATGACCTACAAACATTCCAAATGCCATGATTTCTTACATATTTTATTGTTCACAACATTATACAACTTATGACTTGTATCTAGTTTCAAAGGAAGGCAACAAGAAGGGCAAGGAGAGAGAAGGAAGAAGTGTGTTAAATTTGGTAGTTGACAAAGGGTTCCTTCATTGAAAGTGCAAGATTGCCTCTGAGAAATTCTTCCTCTCTATTCTTGCTTTTCTGCACCAGTTTCACTGTACCTAAATACGGAAGCTCAGAGAGTTTATTCTTGACAATGTTGAGACGGAGATAGACTGCAATGTTCCCCAAGGAAGTTGAAAAGAATAGGAGTCCACAAAAGTCCCCAATGAATGTATCTATTCGCCAATTGATGAGATAGCTAGGTATTACATCATCATATTGGTCTTTTAGGTATTATTACTCATTTGTGAAATCTTATGTCGTTGATACCAAAAAGTCTAAGAGATTTCAATGGCATAATTTTTTTTACATTGACATTTGCGTTTGTGAATTGAGAAAAAGTTAAAATTATTGTTAAATGGTAATCTGATAATCGAACATCGGGAACCTCAATATTAACACGGCAGAACGTGATCCCATCGCGTAAGGGATCTGCTACTTACAGCTTAGGAACTCGATCCCTAAAAGTCAAGGACCTCAATCCCTCATTGTTTCAAAAAAGGGCTACCCAACACCTAGTCTCCCAAGAGACCATATGCTGCGTCAACTGGGCCTGGGCATCCTTCTTGGGCAGAAGTTCCTAGGCACCCGTCCAGACGGGCTACACGAATGCCTAGGCAGCAGCCCAACGCCCAATGTAAAAATGGCTGAAAAAAAATCTTTTTATGGGACCATATTGGTCATTTTTACTCATGAAAAGGGGGTATTCTAGCCCCCCAAAGTAAAAAAACTCTTCCTATGCCCTAGAACACCCAAAATTAATCGATTTTGTGATTTTTTAAAACAAGAAAATTTTGAGAAAGTTCATAGAATCATATTAAACCTTACCATATCTTATTGCAATCAATTTTAGGATGATTTTGACCTTGTTAGACAACCAAAACATTGAAGATAAAACATTCAATATTGAATTAAAGATCTATTTATTTTCGTCTTTTGTACATCATTTTGTATTGGTCAATAGGTCACATTTGAGACTTCGAGTCTATGAGTATGTCTGTATTAAGTAAGGACTATAGAGTATGGTATATCGATACTAAATCACTAATACACTATGTACTTAATGATTTGAATGTAATTCAACTTTCATGCGCATATATTTGTATAAAAACATTAGTTAGAAAACATATAAATGCATAAATATACATATTTAACACATATATACAAATATGTGTATCAGGACAGCACATACATGTATTAATCGTACATTCTGGCCGCCTAAGATTCTAGGCATTTGCCAAGGCACTAGGCACCCTAGACGAACCCTCTCCCCCCCCTCCCCCCCCAAACAAAACCAAAAAGAAAAAGCACCTAGAGGCCGCCCAGCTTCTTTTTAAACCTTGCATTCCCTACATTTGACCATGTACGGATTTCGTTCCCTCAACCACCGAACTTCGCGGTTTCCTCACTCCACGCTTCCGCTCCCAACCCCAAAGCTTTTTTTATTCCACCCTAAGTAACTATGGTCTAGGGTGATTTCCTGTGCATGAATCCCTTGCAATGCAAAAAAATAAGCATCTTAAACAGAGTGTGAGATTAAATTATCCAATTCAGGATATGAAGAAGCACCTCTCACAAATCTCAGCTCAGCCTCTGAACCACCATAATGCAGCAACTATGTAAAAGGTCGCTTCCTCATCCCTTCGACAATTAAAAAAAAAGAAAGGCAGGTTTACAGCACGGAGATTCTAACAACAGTTTATTTTATTCATTCTCTTCCCTTCAAGAATATGACTCTTTTGATTGCTATGTTAATAATTATGCTACTCTGAAATGCTTCATCAGGTTCTTCCAACGGCAGGATGGTTCTCACATAACATTGGCTAGTTTTGTGAAAACAATCAGGGAAGGTTTTGGCAGAAGAAGCTTTCAAGCACGCTAGTAAAGAGTTCATTTACCTTCCTTGAGTGAATCAATAATAGAAGATATTGCAGAGAGTACGAGATCCCACAGCTGTCAAAGATTAAGATTTACTTAGCAGAGAGAGAGAGAGATTGCAGCTGGAATTGAAATGCCAATATTCATTAAGCCATTGACAAAATCCCATTGTCCAAATCAAGACGATAATTATGCCTAAAGAGGCTTTAAACCATTTAGGACCCATGGACTCAATGAGATTTGGATCCAAGCCAGAGATTGTCTTTACCTGGGCAAATACAAGTACCTTCCAAAATTGAGTTGTATGTTTTGCAATTTTGACCATAACATTAATAAGTGATTGTAAGGACGTCAGAAACATCTTTTATTTCATCATATCCCACCCTGAACAAAACATCTTTTATTTCATCAAATCCCACACCAAGCAAAACATATTTTATTTCATCAAATCCCACCTCGAGCAATGACTGGAATACATTACCAATAAAATGAAATAACAACAGGGAACTTCAGAAAAACCTCCACCATATCCCAAAGTTCAAAGTTCACATTTTATATACTATTTGAGGTATACAATAATTTTTTCATGCTCAGTCAAGGTGTTAGAAAACTCAAAATTCTTTTCTTTTCTTCTTTTCTTTAAAAAAAATAAAATGAAATACTCATCTATCGATTGTAAAGTAGATCCCAATATTTTGGATCAAGAAAAGACTCCTAAGTAGGTCTTTTACCCCAAGGACCAAGTGTGCAATGTTCTCCCATGACACATGCACTCATAACAAATTTGAAAGAAGAGATAACATTGTCACAGCTTGGTACGTTTGAAATACATATTTTGGTGGGTCTGGATGTACATTACCATTGATAGTCCACTTTTACAACAAAATACTTAAGATAATATTTATTTGTTGCATCATAGTAAAGTTATTTTTGATAAACTTTTTATTTGTTTACCATATCACCTAATCTCTTTAAAAAGGAGTTTTTACTAAACTCAATATAACTTTATTGATGCAGGAAGAAAAGGTGGGAAATGATATCCACCCTCTTTCCGATCCTCAAACAAGTAAAATCAGCGATACATGAGAAGAATCATGGTTGTAAATCAACCCAATAGAAGAACTTTTTTCTTATACAAAATAAATTTAAGTCCAAAATAACATATCCTTCTCATGGGCAACGCCCCATTTCTAATACAAGCAACCAAGGAAAAAAAAATCCAAAATATTCCTCAATCTATCTCTCCTATCAACCCCAATATTTTAGGAATACACAAAACATTTTTATCCATTTATAACTTTCGTACTTTCCCTCCCTCATTCCACTTCCCTAGGATCTCTAAATCCCATGCTTCTTATTCTAACTCCTCAACTTTAGGTCCTCATTCAAACTCACACACCAACCATTAAACTCCTAGTCATCCTACAGTTTAGGATTCGCCCACATGATGTCCATCTTTAAAGGACTTCTAGCTAATTGGTGAATAACTAAATTACTAGCCATGCCCATATAATAAATAAAACTACTTTTTGATGCAGGAAAATTGGAGGGAAACAATAAAAACAGCAAGGAGCAAGCTAAACACAAGCACAAGTCGAATAAACCTAGGGTTTTTTCTCCATACCCCAAGCTAGGGCTCCAAAAGCCTAAGCTTTTCTCTTTTTCAATTTCTAAAAATATGTGGAATTGACCCTCTCAAGGCCCCACATACCTTATATATTATAATTCAATGTTCAAGGATATTCATGTCCATACAATGATTAAAATAACCTATATATCCTAACTTAAACTTAAATTTCATAATGATAAATTTACCCCTGTGAATAGTACTCATGAATAGTACTTATGAATAGTTCCCATGAAATAAACAAAAATTTATAGAACCCTAGAATTCTTAAAAAACTAAAAACCCTAGGAATGAACCCTAAAAGCAAACTATAATAAACATCCATTAAAGTTAAATAAAAAGAAAGAATAAGAACAAATTTTCCCTCCATCATTCTCCTCTGGTTGGAGAAAACTCATCCTCGAGTTTTGAAGTGTGCTAAGATGAACTTGGCATT